ACAGAGATACGATAGCACTCTTCAATGTATTTGAAAGGTTGTCACAGAGAGGAAGGCCAGGATCTCGTCAGTCATCCTAAAGTGCAGGACAGGCTCAAGTTACAGAAAGCCAGAATCTGGCTGGACATCAAGAAGAATTTCCTGTTATAGCGATATGATAATGGAACTAATGACCTGGGGAGGCTGTGGGCTCACCCACACCGGAGGCGTTCAAGATGCAGCTGGGATACCTTAACCTGGAGTCCAGTGCTGAGCAGGGGGTTGGACCTTAGGGCCATCTGGCCCCTTCCAACTCTTCTATCATTCTGTGCTCATTCATCTGCCTCTTGCACAGGTCCAGACAATGGAGGTGGTGAGGTGCGGCAGCAGCAGGTGCCATGGCCAATTTGTGCACTGGCTCACTGCCTGTCAAGAAAGCAAGTGGGAGGAATGATGGGGAAAGGGGTGAGGAGCGTTAGCAGCTGGTACCAGTGGTGGTGGAAAGGCAGGCTCACGGAGGAAGGGGCCTTCAAGGACCTTGAGCCAGCAGGGCACATGAGAAGTCTTGTCCCCACAGCAGCTAACCACATGGCCCTATGGGCAGTCCACAAGCAGGACATGAGAGAGATCCCTCTCTCACACTCATTTCCAGCAGCTGGAATTCAGAGGGATGCTGATCCTGTTTCTGGAGGGAATAGATAATTATCGGGACAAAGAACCATTAATAGTCTTAGGCTCTTCAAGTTGTTCAAATCCCCTTTTAAAGGTGTCCTTGTTTGTGATAGTCACATCTTGCAGCAAATCCTATACACTATGTGCTGTGTGACAAAGTTCTTTCTTGTGTCTGTCCCGAATCTTCCATTTGATTGGAAACTCTGGTGTTAATTTTGTTTCAACTCCCTTAGCTACAAGCACAGGTAAAACATGCATGCATGCACATCAGAGAATGCTGAAAACTTTTGCTGCAAGTCTCCACTTTTTAGTTCTTCTATTGTGGAGTAACAGGGCTGGTCTTACAGGGCTGAATGCCTGAAATAAAACTGCCGATCACTGCAGTTGGATCTTACTCTGAAATTTTGATTCGATTGGCTACAATCAGAAATGGGTGGTTGTGAAGAAATAGTCTTCAAAACAATAGTCTTCAAAACAAAACGAAGGAATGAACACAAACGGAGCCCAGGTATAGCAAACCGAGGATTTATTAAATACAAGAAGAGCGGTTGAAAGGGGAAGTAGAACAGAAAGTTCGTGGTACAGTTACATGTTGAAAGAGGAACCGAAGGGTTACTAGCGAATGATATGCCACAGTGGGCTATGACCATCATGGCAGCTACTGGGCTGTCCCCAGATGTAAATGCACCCACAAGAGTCTGTTTGAGCATCAGCCTACCAGTGCCCCAACCATAGAATTTGGTCTTCTTCAAACTGGCGCCCTCCAGATGTATTGGAATACAACTCCCATCATCCCATCTCACGGCCAGTGGGGATGGTGGGAACTGTACTCTGGCTTGCTTCAGTTGGCATAGTTCAACACATCCAGAGGGCAACAGGTTTGGGAAGGCTGCTGTAGTTCCCGAACCAGTGCAGTCTAGCTTCCCTCTCGCCAGGATAACCTCTCCTCCATTGGCCCTGAGGTCTCTATGGGCAGAATCCAATTTTGGAGAAGCTTTTGGGCAGCACATTCCAGAGGTGGCAAAAGGGGTGGGGTCAAAATTACAAAAGAAATCAACATACTTGTGCTGGAAGCGTTTTCTGCCAGTTCCTAAAGTTAGGAGAGGCAGTTCAACCTTTTTGATGCAGGAAAAAAACAGCCTCAGAGTCAGGAGGACAAACAGCAGGCACTTGACGGGAGAGAGAAAGGAGAGGGGTGAGAGGAAAAGGTGCAGCCTTCAGGGGAACCCCGGAGGGCTAGATCTGGCCTCCAGCATGTCCTCTCTAGGATGGATTACTGATTGATTGATTGATTGAATTTGCATCCCGCCCCATTAGCTGTACAGCTCCCTTCCCAGTTCTGCTGACACCCTTCCATTTTATCTTCACACCAATCCCAGAGGGTGGCCCAGGCTGAGAATATCTGGCTCAAGGTCATCCAAAGAGCTTCAAGGTAGAGATTTGACCCCAGGTCTTCCCAGTCCTACCCCACCACTCTAGCCACCCCAGCTCTCACATCAGACCGACAGATTATAACGCAGAGTGTGTCCCAGTAACTTTAATTCTATCCCTGAATCGGGAAAGGAGGAAGCAGCAGTTTGCTTTCCACTAGAACCCCAAGATCTGCCAACCAGCACCTGGTGCAAAAGACCATTCAAGCATGAGAATTTTGAGCCCAGGAATCTTTAGAGTACCAGGACTAAACGGAACTCACAGTCCACACTCTAAATCCACTCTTGCCACTCAACAGTTTGTTTCTTCATTTCAGCAGTATATCTAGGGTGACTGGGCACTTGTTTTGTTGCTGCAAGTGGTGAACAGTTAAAAGGTAAATATGCTTCTGCAAACACTCCAGAGATGTGCCAGGTCTTTCTGCCCACATCCGCACTCTCCTGTCTGCTGTAGCTGCGTGAACAGTCGCTGGAGAGGAGGTGGAATGGCCAAATGAAGGGCAGGAAGGAAAAAAGATGCTGCTGAAGTACCTGATCTGACGCCTTTTTGAGAACCCAGGGGGGAAATCTGGGAGGGGGGAGACCGCAGCAGGGCATCTATTTAGCATGCAGGAACCATACTGAATGTCCCAGTTAAAAGCTATTTAAGCAAAGCACCCACCACATCTTGGGGCAGCCGATGGCATGAAAGCTGCATGAAGAACTATCTCCCTCCGTCTGTCCTCAGTCTCTTACAGTTCTGCTGCACAGGATGACTTGAGGTTCCAGTTTTATGAGCGAGGGAGAAAAATCTGCTTCTCCACTTCCTCTTTACCATGTATCGTGTTTTATACCTCTCTCGCATCCCACGCCCTCCTTGCTTTTTTCACTGTGACGAAGTCCATCATGTTGCAACCTCTCCTCATAGAGCACCCACTCCAGTGCCCGATCATTTTGCTTGTCCTTTTCTGTATTTCCCCAGCTTCTTGGGGATGTGGCAGCCACAGAGGTCTAGCAGTACATTTTTAAAGTGCAGGTGCTCGCCATGGCAGTCCTCTTAGTCCAGCCTTCCCAACCTAGCACTCTCCAGACATATTGAACTGCAATTCCCATTTTCCCCAGCCAGCATGTTAGGGTGCCAAACATCTGGAGGGTGCCACCTTAGGGAAACCTGTCACAGCCACATCCCCAAGGAGAGTACACAAATGCAGGTTGGAGAAGCATTTATCACCAAGTCAACAAAACAGTTTTCAATCAGGAGCAGGCCTTCTGTAAAACGAATGGGTCTTACCTACTTACTCAAGATCAGGTTGTCCCAAAAGACTGAGCTTTACAATAGGCATACCTCTTAAGAGCATCTTGTTACTGGAGCAATCTAGATCTCTCCTTGTGGATTTCTGCTCAACTCAAAGGGGGTTAGCAAGCACCATCATGCCCGCTAATCAAAAGATCTCAACACTTTGACCCAGAATCCCTGGTTTTGCTACACCGCTGAGTGACCAGAATTGAGCCCTGGGGAGAGCTCAACTTCGTACATTCTGAAAGTGTACTATCTACAGCTGAAGCAGATTTGTTTTCACAAATCATAAATTAAGCTGTCTTTGAGTGTTCATACCAAATATTAAATATGCAGCATCAATATTTGATTCCCAATGATATCTGACAGTTGTTACATGGAAGAATTTCATAGCTGACATGCATAAGTATTACTATTTGGTCTCTAACATGCATAATTAATAATATTTGACTATATTTGCTAGTTACCATCACTTATTGTGACAGCTGGCATGCTATGGCATTGTAAGCATATTTAAATAACTAGCATGCAAAATAGTAGCCTCTAATCATTGACATGCAATAGTGTTTACAATATGATAGGTGAAATGGAATGGAATGTAGTATGATAATAGTCATGCAATACTGTGCACTACCTACCAATATTTCATACCTGACATGCAATTGTATATATAGTTTCTGACTATTTTAAAGTTGCTAGTTTATGGCATTTTATATTGGACACCTGATAAAAACCAAACAATCAAGGGACTGCGTAACAAAATCTATTACTGACTCATATTTTCCGGTCAGTTTTCGAATTCAGTATTCAAAGTGTGACATTTGAGATTACAACAAATTCCAAAAATTTGTTGACAAAGTTTGTTTCTGCTTTAGTGTCATTTATTCTGACTTGGACTGCAATGCCGCCACAAGCTGCCATCCTGAAGTGCGGACTAGCATAAGTCAAAGCTTTTCAGAATGAATCTCTGGCCATGTTCAAGGCATCTTCAAGGTATCCCCTTCTGTGTGGACGCCTTCATTCTGAACCAGACCCCCTTGGAGTGAAAGCCATTTCCCAGATGCAAACCATTCATACAGTTTGTTTTCCTGTGCTGCTTCTCCAACATCACACAAAGCTTGATTTGTCAACAAAATATTTTCCACGCACTGGGTCAGCGGATATCCTGGGATGAGAAAGAGAGTTGGAAATAATTACTGATATCCTCAGGAAAAGGGAAGGGAATAAAGCGGAATGACAAAAGAAAACAGTCCCACTGGAGCAAGAAAATATGGAATGATGACAGAACTTTGCTCCGACCTGTGCATTTCCATAATTTATGCCCCACCATTCCCTCTCGTTCCGAACTCAAGTGGTGGAGTGTCTATATATGTGGGAGTGGAACAGGGATTCCCAAACATAAGAGATGTCTTCTCCATACAGGAGAGTAAAAGTGTTTAAATGGAATGAAAAGAAAATATTTTAACCTGCCCCACCCCAGAAGGCCTGATCAGCTCTCAGTGGCCTCTGAGCTTCCAAAGAGGAGGGCAAGGAATCTGGAGGTGATGGTCAATGAGAAGGGTGGGAATAGATCTGTTCTTACAGCTGATAATGTGTGTGGGGGTAGAATTAGGTTTGGCGGGATGTGAGTCAAAAGATCAAACACTTCTTCCTGTGCAGGAATGGGGGAATGTGAAGGATTATATTCTAAGGCCAGTTTAGCAAGAATGGGCCAAACTTGACATCTAATTTGCATTATACTAGAAGCTTGAGACCTTCCAACTGGAGACCCTTTCTCTGCAACCATGATGGGAATGGCAGAAGGTTAGATGGAAAGGGCCAGATTTCTTTGTCCCTCTGCTTCCTAGAAGCCTCTCTTTTTCCTGCCTGCTACAAAATATTGAAACACCAGTAGAATAGTTCACCCTCCAAGGACACTATCACTGAGCTTAAAGTGGCCACACTGGAGCAAAGTAACTCCCAAAGGTATATTAGAATGGAAGACCACTGAGCTGCAGTTCCTCAAGAGGTTTAATTTTCTCTTCTGCGGCTTGAATCAGGATAAAAGTTTTGTTCGTTTGACATTTGCCTTAACCAATGCCATGACGGTGGTGTTACTAGCAACAATTGCTTCTTGAATGGCCATTGTTAACAAAGTGATCATCGTGGTCTGCACTTTCTGCATTTTGCTTCCATAATGTTTACAATTCAAACCCTGCAAACGTATGTAATTCAGGACAACACTTAATGCATCTGATGAAGTGAACCATAGATTGTACAAGCTTATGCCACAATAAATGTGTTGTCTTTAAGATGCCACAAAACTCTTAGCTACCCTCTAGAAGTGGAAGGAAGGAAGCAGTGGTGATAAACCTGTGAACTTGCCAATGTTTCTAGACTACAGATTCCATAATCTCTATCCTTTGGCCATGATGGCAAGGACTGATGGGAGCTGGAGGGCAGCAACTTCTGGGGACTACAATTTCCATAACTGACCATAATTCACGTCAACTGGGACTGATGAGAGTTGGAGTCCAACATTTGGTGTGCCACATGTTTCTACCACTTACATAAAGGGCATAACTATATAAAAATGGAAGCAGTACAGAAAATAAATGGCGGAGGCCCTTTTCCAAGTGAGGAATCGATTGACGCTGAGCTAGCACTTCTGTCACTGTCAGTATGTTACCGCCTTTGCAATAAAAAGGGCCACTCACCTATATGTTGCCTTTGATGGTGAATTAAGCTTCTATTTGCACTAAATTTCTTCCCACACTCCAAGCAGGCATAGGGTTTCTCTCCTGTGTGAACACGCTGGTGCGTGACGAGGTGTGTCCGGTTAGCAAAGCATCTCCCGCATTCTGTGCATTTATAGGGTTTCTCGCCCGTGTGAACCCGCTGGTGCTTTACAAAGGCTGAGCGGTCGGCAAATGCTTTCCCACACTCCAAGCACCGATGGGGTTTCTCACCCGTGTGGCGTCTGTGATGTCTTGTAAGGTGTGAAGGGGAGCCAAAGCATTTCCCACAATCCAAGCATCGATAAGGTTTCTCCCCCGTGTGAATTCTTTGGTGTCTCACAAACGTGGAGCGCTCGGAGAAACATTTTCCGCACTCTAAGCACTTACAAGGCTTCTCCCCTGTGTGGACTCTCTGGTGGCTAACAACATGGGACTGACGGGCAAACGACTTCCCACACACCAAGCATTTATATGGTTTTTCCCCCGTGTGGACCCTCCGGTGGCTCCCAAGGTGTTCCTGGCGCGCAAAAGTTTTTCCACACTCTGCGCATTTATATGGTCGTTCTCCAGTGTGGACCCTCTGGTGTTTTGCAAAGACAGAACGGTCAGCAAAACATTTCCCACACTCCGGGCACTGATATGGCTTCTCCCCCGTGTGCACTCGCTGGTGTTTCAGAAGGTGAGACTGTTGTACAAAACTTTTCCCACACTCTAAGCACTTGTGAGATCGCTCTACTGCATGGATTCTCTTGTGACTCACGAGGGCCGAGGGGTCAGCAAAGCACTTCTCACACTCCAGGCACTTGTAGGGCTTTTCCCCAGTGTGGTACCTCCGGTGGATCACCAGTTGCGACTGGCACGCAAAATGCTTGCCACACTCCAAACACTTGTAAGGCGTCTCTCCAGCATAGATCCCCTGGTGCCTGGCAAGGTGTGCTTTGCGGCCAAAGTATTTATCGCACACCAAACATTTGTAGGGTTTTTCTCCTGTATGGACAATCTGGTGGCTCATAAGGTGTGAATGGCAGCCAAAGCATTTTCCACATTCCAAACATTTGTACGGTTTCTCTCCTGTATGAATTCTCAGGTGCCTGGTAAGGTTCGGTTTCTGGGTAAAACGTTTCCCACACACAGTGCATAAATGCTTTTTCCGAGGGTTGTCTAAAGGCATGAATCAAGAGCAAAGCAGAAAGAGAAATAATTTGAGAAGAAACTAGTTAAAAATGAAACTACTGAAAGCTATTTTTGGTATCTCAACATGTGGCACTATACAGCTCAAAATATTTGGCACCCAGTTTTAGTCACGTTGTTTTGATACCTGAGGCAGCAAATCCCACAATGGCCTCTCCTTGGCAGTAAAAATACACAAATAATAAATGAAATAAGTAAATTCACTGCCTTCTCTTATTGGCCTTGAATAAAGATGAGTCAGATAAAAAGCAGACTAAAAATGCCTACAATAAGATACAGTAGCACCCATGTCTCACCTGAGCTGGTGTCAAAGATCTTCCTCCCATCAATGGTCTGCGAATCTGGCACGCAAGGGTCCTCCCCTTGTTCTAAGCGGGAGACAAGGCCAGGCTTGGAAGTCCCAAATCCTTCTCAGGAACAGGAAACAAGAGAAATCATGAGGACAAACTGGAAGGATGCAAGAAGAGCCCTGCTGGGTCAGATCGAGAGTGCAATTCAGTTGCATCATCCTGTTTCCTTGCAGGGGACAATGAGATGCCAACAAACAGGATATATTTCTGTTTGTTCCAAGCATGTGGCATTCACAGGTGTCCGGTCGCAGAACAATGAAGTCCCATTCAATTCTATAGCTCCTGAGAAACCTGATCCTCCATAAACTGGGAGCATATGCCCAGGCGGGAAAAATGTGGCACAACGACCACATCTGGACCAGGCCTACCTTCAAAGCCTATGAAATTTGGCTCATTTCACTCCCTTCTGGTTCCGACCATCTTCCTGACACAATGTGGACCTCAACCAATTTCAACTGAGGTCACAGGGACAAGATGAGGAAAAGGTTTCATACTTGGGCTATGTGCACCTACCCAAGATTATGCCTCACTAAACTCAATGAGGCTTACTTCTGAGTAGATATTCACAAGATGACTCCATAACGTTTTTGGACCTGGGACCCAACTTGAGGTTAAACATGAATTTAAGGTCCCAGTTCTTGACTTTTTAATGATAAATGTAGACCAGTGATTTAAGTCAGCCATCCAAGTGTTTTGCCCTTCAACTCCCATCAGCTCCAGCTAGTATGGCCAATGATCTGGAATCCTGGGAAATGTAGGCCAAAGTATCAGAGGACACCATGTTGGGAAAGGCTACTCTAAGCCACTGGCCCTCTGCACACTTGGTGGTAGGGATTTCTTTAGGTTAATTGTGAGCTGTGTGAAGAAGTACTCTCTTCCCTGCCTCCATCTACTGACCGATCGATCGATTGATCAATCACTTTTTTATCCCACTCTTCCTCTTCAGTACATGGTAATTCTTCCCTCCAAAACCCATTTTAACCCCACAATGACCCTATGGGGTTGGCTACGCTGAAAGAATGTAACTGGCCCAAGGTCACCCAGTAAGGTTTTTGTGACTCAGTAGGAAACTGAACCAGGGTCTTTGTGACCCGAATGCAGCATGCAAGCCCAAAGGTTGGCAACATGGTGCCCTCTGGAAGTTTTGGACTACAACACCCACTGTCACTGACCATTGTCCATGCTGGTTGGGAGTCATGTCAGGTGAAGCCCAACACTTCTGGAGAGCACAAGATATCCTTGTTTTAGCCACATGACCTCTTCAGTAATGTGACCCAGCTTAGATTTTTTTTCCAGGCTTTTACATCTCTAATTCTGGGAGGTGCCACAGCCCCCAAGCCTGCAGGGAAAAAGTTTGGGTGGGAATTCCTCAGAGACCTCACTGAGGAGATTGTTCTAACAGTGTTTAATCCTGGGACAGGCAGACCAAATGTTTCAGGTGAGGAGTCTGAATCAACCTGCACCCGCCACAGAAAAAATAGCTCACTTATGCTCCTCTGGAGGGGGCAGATGGCACAACTCAATGATGCAGGATGGGGAAACTTCAGGTATGTGACATGTATTTCATATTTTATGACACCCTCGAGGTCCAGCAACAGGTGTGAAAGACACAGAATGAAAGAACAGGGTGCTTCTGAGCAGACTTTCAGGCTAAGAAATGGTTTTCAGTACCAGAACACACAGTCCTCCACTCAAAAGATCCACACCTAGTTTAACCATCCAGTGCTTTCTTTGGTAGAGCATCCTAATTTAGGTGAAAAAAGCAATATGGTTGCTTCCTGCCACTCCCGTTAAACAACTGGGTGTCCAAAGTGCCTGCTGGGTTAGTGCAAAGCCCCCAGAGGTCTGCTGGTTGGTCAGGAAGTACTTGCTGCCCATTTGGCTCAAGATTGAATGGCCCTTTGCACTGCTTGCAGTATCACTGGAGAGGTGATACTGCTTGGACCTAAAAGGGCTCAGCTGGACTCTGCCCATGGTCAGAGCAACCCCCGTTGTCCCCCAAAATGTCAAGGGGGCATGGGGGTGACTAATAAAATAGCATATTGAAGGGGAGCAGTTTTTTAGACCCAAAACCCTGGAAGGCACTGCTCTGCTTTATTTATTTATTCACATGAATTTATAGGCTGCCTATAACTGCCAAGGCCTTCCTTCCTTGTGCTTAGTATTCAATATTGAATTTGAATGACAATCAAGGCCTACACAGCTTCAAAGCTCAATAGCCCAGGAACACACACATCGAAATAATAAATCAATCAATAGCAAACTTAAGCAAATGATTAAAGCCTACAATTAAAGCGTGATGACTAGCCACACCCCAGCACTAACACAGCTGCTGGATACACTCCCCTCACCCACTACTCTTGAGGTTTTAATGTAATTGAGAGTCCTCTACGCAGGCCTGTATGGGTCCACACAGTTGTAACGCCAGTTAATCAGGATTCCTGGCTGTGCAGAAGAGCAGCATGGACCTTCCTTCGCTGCAACCCACCTCAGAGGGCCGCTCTGACCTCCCGCAGTTCACCTGCTACTTTTCATATATGGCCGTCTTCCCCACCAGCAGCAACTCCTGGTATTCCTGACCATCAGCCACCCTGACTGGGGCTGATGGGATCTGATGGGGGGGGGGGTCTGTACAGCAGCGACAGAGCATATACAGTCAGTCCTTGGGATTTTCAGGTAGGATTTGGGACAAATCCTGCCTCAACCCTGGTGAAGCTACGGCTCATATGGGATGAGCCGAGGGACTGAGGTAGGAGAAAACCTTTCTGGGAGGTCCAAAACAGCCGCAGCCCACCTGAGATAAAGTGACTGGGCTGAGGTGAGTGGGCACATGTGGAATTTCAAGTGTGTTGTGAGTCCTGCCACAAAATGGCTGCCATGAGGGTGAGGGTTGTCCGCCATGAGGCAAAGGGGAGAGACTGACCTCATTGCTCATCCAAACACCCAAATTCCAAGAAAAGAAGGGAAGTCTGAGATTAAACACAAAAACAAACAAAACATCCACCTTCTGGACTCAAAGATGGTGTTGAAGGGCAGAGCTTCACTTTGCAGAAAGCCAGCTTCTCAGTTGCAAGATTGTTTAAACTTAAACAATTAAGCATTTTTCAGACATTCAGGCAGAGAAGGGTGCCGTGGCATCACTAACATATTGGTACCCACAAGCACTATCCTGGAAATGCTGGGAATTTTAAAAAGCAACAACAATTTCTTTTTAAAATAAAACGGGATTGGGACAGAGGAAAGAAAGAAACTGGCAAAAGCAGAATTTCTATGTTTATTCATTGATCCAATTATTGTATGCATTGTCAGTTTGCTTTTCAGGATACAGTCCTCCTAGCATCCACCCAACGAAGAAGAGCAAAATCCTTACCCAACAAGGCCACATTCCCATAATTGTCTATCATGACCTCCTTGTACAAGGCGCGCTGGTTTGGGTCCAGCAGTGCCCACTGCTCCTTCGTGAAATACACGGCCACATCTTCAAAGCTCACTGGGCTCTGCAAGAACACACAGAACTTCTGCTCAGTTTCCAGCGCCTCATTTTAAGAAGAACCCTCAGCAATGGAGGGTATTTCAACAAATGTGCATCAAATGTATGTTGGGGGGAGGGGTGGAAAACAGTGTCAGAGAGCCCATAAATTTCCCGAGTGTGTATTTTTGAGTGCCTGCGTGGTACAGTGGTGGGGACAAAGTGATTTCGGTGTGTAGATTGGACCCACCGGTGGGCCTCACCCAACCGCAAGGTGGATGCCAGAGCTTCAGGCTGCCCAGGGTGTCTTGCTGTGCCCCCCATCCTGTTCAGGCCAGCAGGGAGGCTTGTGGGGCCGGGGATGCTGTGTAATGTGCACACTGCTTGGTCACCCAGCCTCTCACGGTCGCCCCATAACTACCTGCTGGAGGCAGCTGCCCTACATTAAGCCCAGCCCTGAGTTATAAAGCAATTGTTGTAGCCGAGGTCAAAAGAGACGACATCTCCTGACCCAATTTCTGGTTATGATGTGTCATTATTACACGTGATTCTTATGAGGCCCAGGAGAAAAGTCTGCACTTTGGGGCTATTTCTGTGGAGATCGGTGCCCCTGGAGGTCAGGTCAGGTGGGCACCAGCACTGTTGTCTTCAGTGCCTTCTGGGGGACTCTTCTGGAATTCCCACCTTGCTGACCAGCCAGAGTTTGAATGTTTTTCATGTACTGGTTATTCTTGTATGTTTTATCTTTTTACAGTTCTGGAATTTGCCTAAAGATACAAAGAATGTAAATGAATGAATAAATGAATAAATGCTGCCGGGAATTACTGGTAAAAAGACCCTCTTTATATATTTATTTAACCCTTTTGTCTTTCTGTTCTGTATTTTGGGGACTTTCTCCTCTGTATCATGCCAACAGATGAGGCATATGGAACATAGTCTAATGGGATGTTTCCTCATATGAACAGCATGGAACTGAAGGGGAGCTGTGCCCTTGAGCACAGCACAGAATAGGAATTTACCATATATTAGCTGCATTTTTTTTTTAAACTAGAACTGCAAGATCTACCAAATGCAAAATGGAAACTCGGAAGGATGACTAGACACTGAAACCTGAGCAACAGGGTGCCTTTGGACACATGACTAACCTGGATCAGTGCCAGAACAAAGTTCACAAGTCCTTCCATCCAAATACCTGCTCTACCTCATTTTGGCCAGAAGCTTTTTAATTAATCCTATTGTTAGACATTTCGAAGCCAGAACATTTTGCAACTCTATTGCAATTCACTCAGAGATACAAGGATCAGTCGTGTTCTATTCTCAGTTTTGTTTTAACTGTCACATCACAGTAACTCCCCACTCTTTCTTGCAAGGTGAAGCAGACCCAGATGGTGGATGCTGACCAGAAACAGTTGCTTATTTGCCTTAATGGTCAATCTCCTCTTCACAAATTGGATCCTTGGTCCAGTCGAAGATCCTTGCCAGTGAATACGCTATTCCTTAGTCCAACTTCACGGACCACTGCAAGCAAAACCAGGTCTGTCTTATCCATTTTTTAAACTGCCAAGGCACAGTCTCTCCAGCATCACAACTGCACAGAGTCACCTGACCATTTCAGACGGGCAATTTGAACAAACAGGAAATGGTACATAAATACTGATTTGCTTTGCTTGTGCAACACAAAATTCTTCTATAAAGTTCTCTGACTCCTTCTTACAGCTCAGCAGATTAGAAAAAGATTCACAGGCTAGTTCAACCATCGCTGTGTACTTTTCAGGGTAACTGGAGGAAATGTGCTTGATTTGTACACTGGCTGAGCATTCACTCCGAGTCTAGCATAACAATATGTGAGGCAGCTCTCATGCCTACGAGCACTGACCTTAGGCACACATGTTGGCCATCACCATTGAGCATTGGTACGAAAAGGACCCTGCACTCTATAAACATATGTGCGTCGGGCTTCCTCCATGCATACTTCTGCCCAGGCATCAGCCTCTTTCCAATCAACAGGGCTTGTATGCTGGATGGGGGCATGGCCAACATACCTGCCGGCATCTAGGGGTGGGGACACCTTGGTGCAACTGAGCACTCTAAAATCTAAAATGTCCCTTTCTTGGATTTGGTACCCACAGTTGTATTTCAAGCAGATGTTACGGCAGCCTCCCCCAGAAGGGCTGACTACAACTCCCACCATCCCCAACAGCATGGCTGCCTCGATGCTGGGGATGATGGGAGTTGATGTCCTCAGGTAAGTTGGAGCCCCGGGCTTTTAGCAAGTTTAATGAAACAATAGGCGCAAATAGCGTAGGGTTTTCTACCCGGCACATTTCCCTGTTTGAGAACAGCAAAACGACCCACAGGGGTTTTCTCCATATGGCTCCATAAATGGCTGCCGGGCCAGAGATTCAGTCTCATATTATTCAGCTGAGCCTCTTCTTCACATGAGGCCCTGAAAGAAATCTCTCTCAAATCCTCTGTGTCCATTCAGACTGAGGAGAAAGAGGTGAGCAACTCATTTTGGTAGGTGGAAGTTATTGGCATTACTGGGTAAACTGAATTATCAGCCCATCGCAGCTCATAATCACAATTCATTATTAGGACCAGGCTAAACACAAACTGCCACCCAAGGCAAGAGGGGCAGCGACACTTGCCTGGCTTATCGCCCCACAGCAATCCTAATTCAATTGCATTCCCATTCCAAAAATACTATTTTCCCATGCAGCCTGACAAATCATTTTATTGATTTTTATTTTTTTATTCTTTGTTAAATCAGCAATCAGTTAAATCTTAGTAAGACAAAAACTGCCCTGCAGTATCAAATCGAAGCTTCGGCTATTTTGTAAATTGCTCTGCAAATCTGTAAAATGCATTAAATATAATCCAGTGTTCTGTTTCTCTCAGAGACAAACCAGATGCCCCTGACCATATGATAGGAGAAAGGGAAAAAGACTGTATGAATATTGGTATCTGGCAAATGGAGGTATACTTACTCTGAATTTATTTATTCATTTGTTTTATATCCTGCCTTTTTCTTCTTTTTTTTTAAGAACTCAAAACAGCTTACATTATTCTCTTCCTCCTCCTCTCACTCTTATACCCACAATAACAATCCTGTGAGATAGGTTGGGCTGAAAGTCTGTGACTGGCCAAAATCACTCAGTTCACTCTATTTTCTATTATTTTATCTACTCTTTTAAAAAGCCAGATCATCAACACCACCACTCATCACATAACGAGACATTTCCTTTAATTTATCCTAAGTCTTTCATGATGAACACACCAGAAGTACAATTTACAAAACATGACTCAGAGAACACCAAATGGTCCATGAGCCCTACGTGCAAAACAAGAATATGGAACATTGAGAATTAGTGTCATGAACACTGAGAACTAGTGAAATGAAGAGCATGAGTGCTGAATCAGAAAATCAACAGTACAAATTTTGCCCCTGCTATGATCTTGCTGTCTTAGGCAAACCACTCTTTCCAAGCCTCAGCCATAATGCTTTCCAAGCCTCATCTGCCGTATCAAAATACAACAGCAGCCGTGTAGGGAAGTAAGTAGGAATGATTGCAGAGTAATGTACATGAATGGCTCTGAACATGCCATATACATACCAAGGAAAATAAATACCATTGTTATTCAGGTAGGATTCTGACTCCTGTGTCACTGGAGCACCTTCTCCATTGCAACTTTATAGGCGCTATCCATGGTGCCAAATCTATTTGGGGGTGGGAGTTCAGCACTGTGGAAAGGCCAAAATAAACGCTGAATGGCTGAGGAGCCCCACGGATGCAGGAGCTCCCAGCCTCCCATGTGACTTGGATGGGAGATGTTGCACCAGTGTGACACTACATGGGAAGTGACGTAAATGTAATTGCAAAGGGCAGATAACAGCTGAAGGGGATCTTTGTGGCTGCTGTAAAGGTCCACTGAGAGCCGGTGTGGTGTGGTGTAGTGTTTAGGAGCATGGGACTGGGACTTAGAGGATCTGGGTTCTAGTCTCCACTCGGCCATGGAGCCAACTGGGTGACTTTGGGCCAGTCACAGACTCTCAGCCCAACCTACCTCACAGGGTTGTTGTTGTGGGGATAAGATGGAGGAGAATGATGTAAGCTGCCTTGAGCCCTTTGTAGGAAAAGGCAGGATATAAATCCAATAAAGAAATAAATAATCAGAGAACTGGAAAGCACCTTGGAGGTTTCCTAGTCCAACTCCTGGCTCAGTGTAGGATATAATTATACCAGAGACAGTGCAAATGGGGTGCCCTCCAGAAGTTTTGAATTTCAAGTCTAATAAGCCGCAGGAAGCAGTGGCTGGGGATTCTGGGAGCTGTGGTCTAAAGTAACTCAAGAGCACCAGATTCCACTGAAATATCTCCAATGAGGGAATCCCTGCCACTTCCACGGGCAGTCCGTTCCACTGCTCCACAAAACTTACCATTAGGATGTTTCTCTCAGTAAGTTCACCAACATTTGCTCCCTGACAATTTCCACCCACTGATTCTTACCCTGCTTCCGGAGAGCATGTTTACTTCATCTACTTCTTTGGTATATTTCTTGTTATGTTATACTTATCTTCATATGCCTTCATTTTCTTCCAAGGAACCCAAGGGGACTTACATGATCATTCTCCCTCCCCCCCCACTTATCCCCACAACAAATCTGCAAAGTCAGATAGGCTGAGTCATTGACTGGCTCAAAGTCACTTGGTTTCTTGGCTCAATGAGGACTAGAACTCACAACATCTCCCACAAGCCAGTCCAAAACTCCAACCACTACACTACACTGGCTCTCAGTTTGGCACCCTCAGAATAGTATGTCCTACAACTCATGGAAATTGCAGCCCAAAGCCTCCAGAAGGCACCAGGTATTTTGGCTATACACTCCAGCTGTGGGTATTTGCAGCACCAGAAGGTTTTGGATCTTCGGTTCATATAAACCCCTGCAAGGATCTATTCTACCCCCTCAATTGACCGCATATATAGTGGATTCCAAGGCTCTTTGGTAGTGGATTTTAATAACCCAATTTAGTGCACTCTACAGATAATGGGTTACAATACCCATCATTCCAGACCACTGGCTGTGCTGTTGGAAACTGGAATTCCAAAACATGTGGAGGATATTAGGTGTTTGGGCTGCTGCAGTGCCATAAGGCACTGGACAGACTGACTTAGCTAATGGTCAAATCTTAAGGAATTTAGAGAGCCTTTCCTTTGAGCAAGTTTACTATGGATTGCAATGCAAGTATAAAGTTCATCAGTGTGCATTTCTGCTTTACAAAGATGACAGGTCTCTGCCCCGGTGACCTTACAATCTGAACTTTGACGGTGGAGAAAGGGATAGGAGCAAGCAGTTTCACATAATCTTGCCAGCAGGGAGAATTGTGTGTCCTGCCTGGAAAAAAATCCTAAAGATCTACTACGTGTTCCTTGTTTGGTTTTGCACCACTGCGGCAGAGATTTTTATGATGTTGCAGAGAGAGGTTTTTATTTTTTTATGATGTTGCTGACAGCAGGGAAGACGGGAGGGAGTCAATTGATGAAATGGGCTCTGATCCACATAGGCTTATGATTGTGCCTTAGTCTTAAAGGCACCTCAAGACTCTTTTGAGTTCCAAGGGGGCGGGGTTGTGCAACTTGCATGTAAACATAATGAGCAGACATGCCTCGGAGCTGGGCTTTTATAGCACTGCAGTGCCAAGAGGAGCTACATCCGTCATTTTTTATGATGCAGCCAGCAGCCAAGGACGCGGGCTGGGTTGAGAGCGAGTGGATTTGGGGCGTCAGCGTGTAAAACCCGGAGGATCCATGTCTCACAGCCGGATTCTGCAGCACCACCAACATCAAAGTACTGGATCAAAGACCGACAAACAAACAGACAAATCATGCAATGGAAGTAGACACGGTATTCTTAATAGCTGCTATTTGGGGTTTCAATTTAAAAGAAAAAACCCTAAGGAGGAGGCTCTTTTAGGAACTACATAGATCTGACTTTTTATCCCTTTCCCCCCTCTGCCTCCGCCATTTTAAGAGGTTACAATCGGGTCTTTTCTCCCGCTTTTAGGTTCTTTTACCCTCGCTCTCTCCCCTCCTCTCTCCACAAATACACGGAGGAATCCAAACCGCAGCCACTTCCTTCCCCCTCCTCGGGATGAATTAAATGGGTGGGGGGCCAGCAGACAAAGGGAAGAGCCATCCCCGTTTTCCCAAGTTCTGGGAAACATTTTCTTTCAAGCCCTTCTCCCCCGCCTCCCCCCTTATGCAGACTTTCTCCCTTCTCTACCTGCATTTGCGCGCGGTGCGATTCGGAGGCTCCTCCGCAGAGTTTCTCGCTCTTGCAACTCAGGCACCCCCACCTCCGTCCTGGGGCTGCAGCGCTCATGCGCCCCCTCGCCCGCGCACACACCTATTTCCCAGCCCGGCCAATCACTCCGCTCCTCGCCGGCCACCCTCGCCCATCTCAGCCAATTCAGCGCCGGGATATTCCAGAGGCAGGAAAAGGAAAGCCCAGGAACTGCTGGGAAGTGTAGTTCTCCTTTTCCTGTTCGGAGCACGGCGGTCCTCTACTCCTTTACCGTCCCTTCTCCTTCTTATCCTTCACTTGGCTTGGTTTCTTATTGTTTTTTTCTTTGTTTTTCCGCCCACGGCGTTTATGATTAAATTCAATAAAACATAGAAACGTAAACAACGAAGGCTCATCCTGGGAGTTTCAGTTCAGGACAGCAGCAGATAAAAAGCAACTTGAAAATGAGGGCAGGAAGCGCTCCTCTTTTCTGCCACGATCCAAAGGCTCTGTAAGAGGCAGGCCGACTAGGGCAGGAACCCCAAATCTTTAATTCGGTGCACCGAAATGTTTGGAAGGGCGGCTGTCACACCACGCAACTGTCTACGAGTATTTGCTGAAATTAAGGTATAGGGACCCTGGGGGGCAATGTTGCATTTGATCTCCCTAAATTAGCTGGCCTTTCACCCACCTGTACTTTCACCTCCTGCTGCCCGCCCCCAAACCTTTCTGTCCGAGGTTTTTTCCCTTAAAGTTTCCCTCCTCTCCCGTCCGTACATCCGTTCCTACAAATAGGGGTGTCCTTAGGAGACAAGGACCTTTAAATGAGTTCATCTTCAGAGAGCATTCAAAATCTGCATATGCAAAGTTGTGGAGAGAGGTTGTCCTGTGGCCCTGAATACTGGCTTTTTGCTGTACCTGACACCATCCTTCATATGTTCCATCCCATGCAAAAATTGCCAAGACTCGTTTTGCCGTTTGCAGGACCCTGATGGGTACCTTTTAAGCACCTGCTGAGCAAGGATAGGTGCACATCCACACCCAGAGAAAATAAGGGATGCCTTGCGTGGATCAGACTGAGGGTCTATCTAGTTCAATACCCTATTTTCCATTTACATCTGTTGCAGCAAAACCAACAAAGAGAGTTCTAGCACCTCAAAGACTCGGGTATTCATTCTGGCATAAGCTTTCGTGGACTACAGTCCATGTCCTCAGATGGTTCCGCCTTCTGTGAATAAAAACAAGAAAAGGCTTGTCAAACTAACTCACTGAATGCACAAGTCTGTGCACAGTTCCTGAAGAGGTAGCTATCTTAGCCAGTTGCAGCAAAAATGAGAATGAAATTCATTTCTCCCTGAAGATAAACACATTTAAAAAAAAATGCAGTGTACCTAAGGAATTAGAAGCCAGGGCACCATTCAGGCCCAGCTCTAGAGTTAAAGCGGCTACTTAAGTTACCCAAAATGAAATGCATTGCCAATAAAAAAGTCAAAAGGGAATACAGATTTGCAGAGTTTAACATGCTAATTTGTCTAGAGGTGCATGCTTTAAAATAATCATTACGCTCTGAATAGAAGTACAGCGCATCTAACCATGGTGAGCAAGCATGTGACCAACTTCTATGAGCCAACTTCTGCCTGGAGTCAGATGCTAACTTTTCATTTGCAACTTTAAGGCCCCCACAGATCTCTCTTCTTGTGTCCTTCTTTTTAAGCTGGACTTGGACTGGACAGTCCATCAATAGAGGATGCCTTCAAAAAACAGTTCTGTGTAAAAGACATGCAACAGGTTTGAAAAGGCCTTGGAGATAAGGCCATCTGAGGGGTCTTTCTTCCATCACTGGGTCCTGAAGGGCCTACCTGGCAAGGGAGGCTGGTCCAAATAGCCCCAGGTACTTGGGTCTGGCTTCCATTTTGATTTTTCACAAGACCCCGAGCCAATGTTGCATCATGGACATTGCAAAGGAAGGGAAATTGAAACGACAGCTAGGCTTCCAGGAGGGGACAGGGCAGCCTCAGCAACTAGCCCTGCCAGGCTCAGAGCAGCTGCCAATGGATGGCACGAGCTGTCACCAAGTGGAGCACATCTGCCCCCTCCCCCCACCCAAAAACCCAAAGGACTGAGCAGGCTTGGTGGCTACAGAATACTATTGGACAACGTATGTGGCAAGTGGGGGAAGGGAGAGGAGTGGGAAAGACACACATGGAAACTGCAAACTGCAATATTCTGTTGCAGTCCCATCTCATGTTTCTAGAATACTTGCAATTATCTCAATGCTCCCAAGTGCCAATCCTTACGGAGGCAAAAGTACACCATCCGCATGTAAGAGGGAGGCATAAAGGGATTTCTATGGACACCAGGTGCTAGCAAAAAAAGTGGGGACACCCTTTGTCTCACCCCCCAATAGCATAACAAGGATTAAGCATGTTCACGGGCAACAGAAAAGTTTTTGTTGCAAGGAAAACATCGCTGTTTGGACAACCCTTCTAAGTGCCTGGAATGGCTGATACCAGCATTCATTTATTTGATCTATATCCCACTTTTTTTCTTCTAGCAAACTCAAAGCAGCGACATCAGTCTCCTTCTCTCAATCTTATCCCAACAACATCCCTGTGAGGTAGGTTGGGCTGAAAGTTCGTGACTGGACCCAAAATCACCCAGTTGGCTCCATGGCTGAGCGGGGACTCGAACCCAGATCGCCTGAGTCCCCGTCCTGTGCTCTTAACCACACTGGCTCTCATGGGTAGCATGGCTACTCTTGTTTTTTGGGGGTGGCGAGAGGCAGAGAGAGAAAAGCAGAATGGGGAAGGGGAAAGAATAGAAAATCCTGGGAGATAATACGCCAAATGGCCAGCAGTTTTTTGTCTGCCTGTCTAGGCAAATTACCAATCACACAGAGCGGTTTAACACCCTGCCAGTACACCCCAATGCTTTTGGAAAGCTGCTGCAAGGGACACATGCACTTCGGAGACCCTTCCGTCATTTAAGTCCATATTCTGCACTGCAAGTATTTTGTGCAGTGGGAGGGAATCTGGCTCCCCAGGCACTGCTGGACTGCAGCTCTCATCTGACTGCAGCCCATGCTGGAAGTCTGAAAGAAGCTGCCCTCTGGCTGTCATTAGGACTGCCGCCTGTCTCCCAACTGAGGTGCAAGCCTATGAACGTTCAAATAGGGAAAAAGCCCTATGATTCTCATCATTCCCCAGCCAGTGATGCTGGGAACTGTTCAAGTTTCCTTCTGACTAAACCTGAATCTGCTTGTGCCCTTAGTATGTGTTCAATATACGCTAAGTAAGTAAGCAAGCAAGCGTATGAGCCAGATCCATCATGAGATTAAAGCAATCCATGGAAGACCTTTGAGAGAAAGCAAAAGAAGGGCACTCGCCTTGCTAAGTGCCTCTTTCAGAAGCCGATAAGCAATTGTGCTGTCAACATACAAGTAGTGGAAGAGACCCTTCAGCAGTGTGTGTGTGTGTAGCTAAGGGGCAGTCCTTGCTCTGACAAGTAGGGTGTGCAATACACAAAAAGCATTCCAGTTCTCCATTGTCAAAATGCTGACCACACATTCATGGTCGCCCTGGCTTTAAGACGCAGGTGCTCTTACAGAGGACTTCTATACAATCTGCAGTCGCTGCTCCAAGGCACTGATTACGTGGCAAGAGATGGGGCAAGGGACAGCCATTCTGGCTCTGAGCGCAGGGCAGCTGTAGTCCAACACATGTGCAGAGTGGCAGGATAGCAAAAGTTTCCTTAAATCACACTTTTTTCTGGAGAAGTTCCATTGTCATTTCAAAACTCATGTACCTGAGTTTTTCTTTGCAATACTTATAAATTGTGTTGAAACGGTACAGCTACAAAGAGAACTTTTATGCCTTATTTTGCCTCCACTCCAATCCCCCAAGTGTAATTCCAACCTTTTTCCTTCTGTCAATTACTGTTTTGCTACTACAAATGAACAAATTTGTATCTGGCCAATCTTAGAGAATGAATGAAAAAAAGTGGTGGTTGGAACAATAGCGTTATAGTGCAAGGGTGCTTAAGCTCAGGTTTCTGGAATCTATTTTTAGATGTGGTTTTAAAAATTAGAAGCTCAAAGTCCATGAAGCAGAGCCTGGTTCTGTAGGCTCAGACCTGAAATTTGAGTATCAGAACTGAACAGAACTCAACAGTCCTTCCATATAAAAATCTATTCCTGGTTCTCAACCCACATCTTCCATTTCAACAGCATAATTTAGCAGGGTGTGCGTAGATGTGATTGTGCTGCTGCCATTGTTCAACTGCCGGTCAATTACAAAACTATTTGTTGATCTACAGAAAATCACCCACCGATACCTTTTCCCCACCTCTGCTGTAAAGGATCCCACAGAGGTCTGTCAAGCTCTTCGGAAGTCCAACCAAATTCTGTGAAATTTAGTGTCTGCTTTTCATCCAGTAAAAGTTGCACGCTGTGTAATAAACAGCATAAATTCTCCGTTTACATTTCAAGATGTAAGTCTTCTCTTTTTGCTAGCAAAGTTGTGGCCTCGCTTTCATTCACAAATACATCAAAGGAGATTATCTGGAGAGTGGAGAGCCTGGCTCATGCCGAAGCCCCTCGTCTAGACGGCCACCCCAGGATGGGGGATTCTCTTGCATACAATGAAGATTCACAGGGGGTGGTTTCCCTCCCCCAATTCTTTGTGCGCTTCTTGCCTCCCATGTACACACACTTCCAAATGAGGCTTGTATGGCCCCACTGCCCAGCCAGATTCATGCAGGTTTACAGAGAAGCCCAGGTATTATCTTCTACTTGTGCTCCTGCCGTGTTTTTGCTTTTACTCTTTCCTCCGACAGACATTGCCTTTCCTGTAGAAAATCCACTAAGGAGATAAGGCCCCTATAAATGCTGGTGTCTAGTTGCTAGTGCTAGGAACTCTCTTTCTGTTGTCTTGATTGCTGACAACAACACTCAAGCTGGGAAAGGTGTCCCCCACCATCACTGGATGCCCCTTCTTTTGCAGCTGCTCCTGTGCTTTCCCAGGCTGGTCACATAGGTCAGTCCTATCACAGAACCTCAGACGAGTTGTAGCCCAAACATCTGGAGGGCACTGACTGGGGACAGCTGGACTATTTGTCCCGTCAGCCCACTGCACCTGTCCTCAGGTGCTGCTGCATCTGTGTAGCTACTGAAGCACAGAGCCCTGGAAGAACAATGTGACCACATTAGCCAGCAATAAACACGCGTTTAAAACCTCAATTTTTTTCAGGATAGAAAGCTGGAAGATCCCCTTGCCTTATTCTTTCTGGCTCAACAAGATGACAAGATGGCAACAGAAAGCTCTGAGGATGGGGAAGCAGATAGACCATATCTTTATTCCCACAGCATCTGCTGCAGCCCCCCACTGCCTTATTTTTTCTAAAATCCTTACTGTATTTTATTTTTTTATTGCAAGACTCAGCTGCTTTGAACGCCAGTTATCAGGGAGAAAGGCTGTGCAATCAGCATTTTCCATTTCCAAAGCAGAATGTCTAATATGCACATTATAGCCATTAACATGCAATTACTGGAATCAAGAGCAGAGCAAAGCACTCTTTGTCTACACGCTCATTCTTTCCGATTGTGCACCACGCAGGTTCATATCCCCACTTAACTGTGAAGCTCCCTGGGCCATCCCCTCTCTATCAGCCTAACCTACCTCAGAGGGTTGTTGTAAGAATAACAGGGATAAGGGAGAACCACAAATACCACCTTGAGCTGCTTGGGTGAAAGGTAGGATAGAAACGTAGCAACATTTCTGCTCTGGCATAGGACCCTCTTTTCCACATTCCCCTAGAAGTCACACAGTGGGAAAGCAGGGCCACAGCCAGCAGTGGGCAGGACAAGAGCCAACAACTGGCCACCCGCCCCATTCCCCTTTCTGCCACTCCTTTCTCTTCTTCTACCACCTCCTTTCCCTTCTCACACTCTTCCTTTCTTCCTACACAGAAGACTGCCAGAAGAGAGGCAGAAGCTTCTTACTAATAGTGTTCATGACTGATAGCATCCAGATGGTTTCTGAAATTAGTCTGAGGGCGATATGTATTTACGTTAAATTCTGACACCACTTTTTTCCTCCTTTCCCATTATTCCTCAGAACAAGCCTCTGAGACAGGTAAGCCTGAGAGTGAGTGACTGCCCAAAGTGGCACATTGGGCTGTGATGCACCCCAACACAGGAATTGGGGTCTCCAATGTGGAGCCCAGGTGCTCCTTGAACCCTTTCCTTGGCACCTGCCTCTCCTGATTTTTTAAACATTTAATTGGAAGGTTGGCTGGCTACAAAGCAAATGGCTGTCATCCAGTGCCATCTTTATTTGGACTTGAGCTGTATCAGTTTGACTTCTGCAGAAGGTGCACTGGAGAAGTAAACTATGGATTCTAAAACTGTTCTGAAGCTCAGATCCTCCTCAGCCTTATATTTAGGTTCCTGGGCAAGTTACTTTTCAATGCGCTCACCCCCACCGTGGTGGTCATTTGTGAGAACACATGTAAAATCCCATCAAAATTCCAACTATGCCAACAGATTGGAAATGATTGGGGACCCCCTGGGCCTTAACAAAGCAATTATCTCATCCATGATACGTGACCCATTTTTCAATTCTGAAAAAGCATATTTCACCTGCACAATTTGGTATCTCACAAGTATGCCCCATAGGTGTCATCCACATGAGCTCTCTCATGAATAATGAGGGCAGATGTTGAAGAAAAACAATCCCCGCACATCAGGCAGGTATAAGGTTTATCTGCTGTGCAGCTTCTCAGATGCCTCAAAAGGTCCGAACTTTGGGCAAAACTTTTCTGGCATTTCAGGCATTTGTGAGTTCGCTCCCCTGGGTGTTCCCTCTGGTGTTTTGCTAAGGGTGAAGGATCAGCAAAACATTTCCCACATTCCAAGCATTTGTACGGTTTCTCTCCTGTGTGGACTCTCTGGTGCCTCAGAAAGTGAGATTTGTCAGCAAAGCGTTTTCCACATTCCAAGCAATTATAGGTTCTATCTCCTGTGTGAACTCTCCGGTGTTTTGAGAAGGTTGAGGGCTCAGAAAAACACTTGCCACATTCCAAGCATTTATAGGGTCTCTCCCCTGTGTGGACTCTCCTGTGTTTTACCAAGGTTGAAGAATCAGCGTAACACTTCCCACACTCCAAGCATTTATAGGGTTTCTCACCTGTGTGAGTTCTCCTATGTATGGCAAAGGCTGACGAATCAGCAAAACATTTCCCACAGTGCATACACTGATATGGCTTCTCACCTGTGTGAACCCTCTCGTGCCTTGTGAGATGCGATTTTGCAGCAAAGCACTTCCCACACTCCAAGCACTTATAGGGTTTCTCTCTGGTGTGGACTCTCTGGTGTCTTGCAAAGTTTGATCTGCTAGCAAAACATTTCCCACACTCTGCGCATCTGAACGGTTTTTTCTCTGCATGGAGTCTTCGGTGTCTAAAGAAGAATAACTTACGAGCAAAACATTTCCCACAATCCAAGCACGTATAGATTCTCTTTCTTAAGTGAGTTCTCCGATGTTTTGCCAAGGTTGAGCCATCTGCAAAACCCTTCCCACATTCCAAACATTTATAGGGTCTCTCTCCTGTGTGGAATCTTCTGTGTATAGCAAATGATGTGGCATAACCAAAACACTTCCCACATTCCAAGCATTTATATGGCTTCTCTCCTGTGTGAACTCTCTGGTGTTTTGCAAAGATTGAGGGCTGCGCAAAACTTTTTCCACACTCCAAACATTTATACAGCCTTAATCCTGTGTGGACTTTCCGATGGTCCCTAATTTGTGACTTCCAAGCAAAGCATTTCCCACAATCCAAACATTTATGGCGTTTTTCTCCTGTGTGGGTATTCTGGTGGTCCATGAGAGAGGATTTATGACGGAAATATCTTCCACACTCCAAGCACTGAAAAGGAGAATTCCCAGTGTGGAATCTCTGGTGGATCCTGAGATGAGATTTCCAAGCAAAACCCTTACCGCATTCTGAGCATTTACATGGCTTCTCCCCAGTATGGATTCTCTGGTGACTTGTGAGATTTGATTTAGTAGTACAACGCTTCCCACACTCCAAGCATTTGAATGGTTTCTCCCCTGTGTGGATTCTCTGGTGGATCAGAAGCTTTGATTTCTGAGCAAAGCATTTCCCACACTCCAAGCATTTATGGCATTTCTTTCTTGTATGGACGTGCTGATGGTTGGGAAGAATGAAATGTTCCCCCCAGATGATGCTTGAGTGCTGCTTCCTACGTTCACCTGCTGAGATAAACAGCACACAGAAACAAGATTTATTTTTCAGGGTGGGAAAGGAGGAAACCCAGGAAGTAGGCTGAAAGGGGAAATGGGGTCATGCAGGCACAATCCTCTCGTGTTGCCCATACAACTCCAAACTTTGGGGTCATCGCATGCAGAGCAGGAGGGGGGCAGAAGGAATCTCTGTCTCCCTGCATTCCTGCCCTGCATTTTCCCCAGATGAATGTTTCGCCTGTCCAGCTGGAGCATTTCCAGTGCGGACGAAAGGAAGCTTGGGAGGTTTCATGAGAACTTGTGTCTGGTTTTCCTGTTCTTCCTCTCCCCACCCATGGGAACATCTCCTTCTCCCCACCCTCTGAGCTGCTCCTGCTGCCTCTGACAGTGTGCAACACAATTCATCCTTTGCTGGTTGTAAAAGAGTGGGGAGTGGAGTGGAGCAATTCCCAGCCCTGAGGTCATTGTGCTGTCTGACCTTAGAGCTGGGAATCCAAAATAGCCTACAGCCCCTCAGACACTGTCAGGTGACATAGGATTTCCATGTTAGCACTGTGAGGGAGCAATATCAAGGAAAGAAATGGGCCACCAACATCTCATAGAACATAGAAACACGGAAACAGAGCAAGTCAGAAGGGGCCTCCTGGGCCATTTAGTTTGACTGGGGGCTCCAGCCAGCTCCGCTCACAACATGCCCACCATGTGCATGTCCAGCCTATCCTTGAATGACCTCATCAATGGGGCTTCAACCTCCTTCTGTGGAAGCCCATTCCATACCCTGTCAGGAAGTACTTGCTGGCATCCAAATTTAACCTTGGGTTTCTTGAGCTTGGCTCTGTTGGAGCACATCCTGCCTTCCTCTGCAGGGGAGAATCTCCCCCTCTCCTATTTCACCCAAACACTAACTTACCTCCAGATAGTAGTATAAAACACCTGAAGAGAAAGATGCAGCACCATAATTACATCCCAGCAGGGATGGACCACTAGTGGCCTCTCACTCCCTATATCCCATGCTGGCTAGGACTGATGGAAGCATCTGCAGGGCCACAAGTCAGCCACCCTTGCATTAAAGGAATCAAGGATGGCGCTCCAAAAGTGGAGAAGAGATATAAAAGAGGAAAGAAGAAGGGGAGGCTGAGGTTAAAAGTCAAAGGAATGGCAGAAAAGATGCTTTCCTTGCTGCTTAAAAGCTGTTGGGAATTGTAGGTGATTGAGAAACCAGGTGGCAAAAGTGACTGACCAAGGTGCGGAAGAGAAGAAGCCAAAATGTTAGCCAAGAGGAAAAGAGGGGAAGGGCAAGAACAAGGAGGGTCAATCAAGGGAAGTCAGAGTGAAAGAGAACAGTAGGCAAGAAAGAGATTTTTAAACAAGTAACTTAAATGGGAGTTGATACCAGAAGGAAAGCCAAGTAACACAGCGTAGGAGACACATGGGCAAAAGGAGGCTTAGACAAATCCCAAGTGGCAGAAACAAGAATGGAGAGGAGGTCGAGCTGAGAAAGAGACCAGAAAGAAGAAAAGGGCAGCCATCAAGTCAGGGGCAGTGAAAGGAATGAAGCAGAATCTTTCCAGTGTTTGTGGGGAGGTTTAGGATGCTTCTTCACACAGTGTATAATTCAACTGTGTTGCCATGGGAAGTGGTGATGGCCACCAAGCACGAGGGAGGAGGGTAGGGCTGGAACTTGGAACATTTCCTGTGAATTCTTTGCAAGGCGACCTCTCCATATGCAGGAGGAATTTTTGGCAGAGGAGTCAGTAAAAACTGGCTCCTTCAGGGCCCAGGGATGAGAATTCCAAGGAATGGCCGAAGGGTTGTTGGCCAACTGGTACATCTGGCCCCCTCATGTGAGGATGCCCTGAAATATAGTGCTTGGAGGACAAAGGAAGCAGGTGAGCATCAGAGTAGAGTGCAAGATTTCAAAAGGAAAGGGCGCTTTTGGTCAACAGCATTAGCTAATCCACTCACCTGAGTCAGGGCTGGAGCTCTCCCCTCCGGATGGCCCCAGAGAATCTGGCACCCATGGCTGTATCCCAAGCTCCAGCTGGGAGATGAGCTCAGGCTTGGCAGCTGGAACTGCTTCCCAGGAAAGAAAAGCATCGGGAGTGTTCAGGTGACATGTTCAGACTTAAGCTCCAAACAGCAATCCTCACCCTCGTAACTCCCTTTTCGGACAGTGACTTATCTTCAGCTGCAGCATCATGCTGAAGATTCCTCACACACACAGATATATACACCATGCACAGTTGTGAAGAGTCTCAGAAATAGCCAGGAAGGAGCCAGCTCCTCTCACAAGAAAGACAAGAAAGGCTCACAGAAAGACATGCCCAGCAGCTCTCTTATGACACTCTTCGGATCCCATGCGAAGTGCAACAGTGCACAAGCAAGTCACCTATTTTAAACACATCCCTCAGGTTCTGGTCTGTTCAAAGGCCTTTGCAAAAATATGCCCCATGGAAGGTGACTGATGGATTGCTCTGCATAAAAAGCACCGTTCAAGAGACAATTGTCCTTCCACAGGTGAATGGGCACAGAGTTGGATAGAAATGATTTGTGGGCAGGAAGAGGATTGTGGAGGGATGAGGAACACATCCAGACCTGAGAGATCCAGGAGGAAATCTTTGTACATCTTAAAACTTTCCTGGGCCAGGCACATAAATCGGAAACACCTCAGACGTGTTGCAAGTGAGACACTGATTTCTATCAAACATCCAACCAGTTTACATGTGCAGGGAGAGATTCCTGCTTCAAAAGTAGAAGAGGATCTGGACCTTTCTTGCATCTTGTACCTGTAGGCCCTTGCCCCAGGATGGGCCTTCCCTCCCACCTCAGTTCCAGGCAGAGACAGAGTGTGGAAAGAATTAAAGGATGAGGAGCTCTTGACTGTGGGAAGCTAAGGGGCAGGCGAAGAGGTCAGGCCCTCTCCTCCTCCTCCTCTATGGTTACTCCCCACAAATCCCTGATTTATTTGGGAATAGAGAGCAGACAGGTGAGCAATAGCTCTGTAACACGTAGGTCTCCTCCTCAACCTGGCAGAGAACGTTGCTACACGAAGAAAATGGGGTCGGCATTTCATGCCAGTTGCCCTCATTTGTGTGGCTAGGGCAAGAAGAAGCTGATACTGAAATACACAGCGTATAAAATATATAATCTGAAGGAGGTGACAATATCAAGCTCTTCAGCCCTTACCAACAGAAAGAGCCAAGTTCCTTACCCAAGGAGGCCACGTTCCCATAATTCTCCATCATGACCTCTGTGTACAAGGCCCTTTGATCCGGGTCCAGCAGAGCCCCCTGCCCCTCCGTGAAATACACGGCCACATCTTCAAAGCTCACTGCCATCTGCAAGAGCAAAGAGACCCCAGTTCAGCCGCACAACTTGAAACCCACTTCAAATCCTCCACTGCAGGAATTTGAGCCACTTCGGTTTAAGCAGAACCCAGCCTGCTACATCTGCCACTTCTTCCTTCCTAGACTTCCGCTATTCAGAATGTGATATCAAAGTCAGCTTGGAGTTTGCAGAAAGGCATGTGAGGACATGGCAAGTGTGCAGAAAAGGGTTCTCTGATCTGATTAGACTTAATCACTTGGCGTCACTGAAAAATGCGACGTTTGGTACAGAGTTAACAGAGCTCATTGTCTCAAGAACTCCATCCCTACAGTGAAACATGGTTGACCCAAAACACACAGCAGAAGCAGCAGTGGAGTGATTTAAAAATAAGAACCTGAATGCCAAAGTCCAGTCCTCAGCCCGATTGAGAATCTATCACAAGATTGGAAAGTTGCTCTTCGCCAGTGGTCCTCATCCAACTTGACAGAGTTGGAGCAGTTTTCTCAGGCGCATGGGGAGATGTTGCAGGATCCGGATATGCAGATCTGACAGATTTACCCAACAAGACTCACAGCTGTATTTCTGCAAATGGACTTCTATCATGTATTGACTAAGTGGGGTGAATACTTCTGCAACCAACAAGTGTTTTGTTCATGGCAATAATATTTTGCACCTTCACAGTGTTAAATATCTTGTATACATTGAGTGGTAACAAAGTACATTAAATACAGGTCAGTTCCCAGGTGTGACACAACAAAATGTGGAAAAGCTGTAAGTGGGGGAATACTTCTGCAGGGCCCTGTATCTTCTGCAAGTGAGCACTACCCCCTGTGAACGCTTCCCCAGGTTAAAAATTGCTTCCTGAAAGTAAAATGCTAGCAGAGCAAGCAAAGGGTTGTGTTGTTTTCTGGCGGCAGAGAAAAACCATCCATCCACACCTTCAAGTGGGACTATCCATTTAAGCACCTAATTTTGCTGCATGGCTAGATCCAAGTCTTAGATTGCACAATGTGTTGGCCTATGGCAGAGGCAGGGTACAGTATATCACAGAAGTAAGTACACCCCTCACATTTTGTAATGGACAGTTTCACTTAGGGGTGTACTCACTTTTGTTGCCAGCGGTTTAGACATTAATGGCTGTGTGTTGAGTTATTTTGAGGGGACAGCAAATTTACACTCACTACTTTACATCATAGCAAATTGTCATTTCTTCAGGGTTGTCGCATGAAAAGATATAATAAAATATTTACAAATGCCTATGGCAGAGGTAGGGGATTTGTTGCCTTCCACACATTTTGGACAATCCCCATCATCCCCAACCAGCACAGTCAATGGTCAGGGATTATGTAAGCTGCAGGCCAAGAAATCTGCAAGACACCAGCATTTCTCCATCTGGCCTACAGTAATTGCAAGGTTCAGTACCACGGACATGGCATTTCAGTCACTACAAGCTTATGGCTAAGCCAGAGTTTTTAAGGTAGCCTCCTCCAACCTGGTACCTTCCAGATGTATTAGTCTAAAGCTTCCATCATCCTCAACCATCACCATCATCATGGTGAGAGGGAATGATGGGAGTTGTACTCCAACACAGTTGGAAGGCATCAGGGTGGAAAGATTGCTTTAAAGCATCACAGTGGTGTCGTACTGAAGAAAGCTGTATTTAGAGAGATGGATCTCGGAGTACTGACACGTGACATCCCGAGAGTCCATCCAGATTGCTCACCAGCACAACAGTGAACCCCTGACTTATGGGAAATTAATATGGGTTTAGACAAAAAAATGTCCTGGCTGGGGATACTCAAAGTTCTATGACTATTGTTTGAATAATTCATAGGATTTTGCTGCAAATTAAGCAACAGGAGCCATGGAACAGCTACTTTTATTGGGTTTTATTTTTTAAAAATAGGCTTCTTTGTAAAATGTACGTTTGTTTATCTTGGCATTTTTGTGCCTCCACTATTTTCAGAGGCTGTAAGCTACTTCTCCCGCTTGCTTTCGCTTTTCTGCCCTTTCCCTCCGCCCCACAACCTCCTCCCAAAGACGGGGACGGGGGATCCAAAGAGCAGCCACTTCCCTTTCCCCTTTCAATACGTATCGATCCGTATAAAGGGTGTCTGCGTGCATGTGGGCGATCATACATACAAAAGGAAGCGACACTCCGTATTCCCAAGCGCTTTCCCAAACCCTCCTCCCTTCCTGACCTGCACGTGCGAAAGGGGCGACTCGAGGCTCCCGCGAAGAGTTTCTTCCTCCCTTCGCTGCCGTCCTGGCACGACCTACACTCGCACCCCCGCCTCGCCCATGTTTGGAGTTCAACCAATCACGCCTCTTCTCGACACCCCGCTATTTCAGCCAATCCAAACTCGGGTTATTTCAGGAGCAGCCGGGTGGCGCGTCCCGCGGCTGCTGGGAATTGTAGGCTTTTCCCATTAAAGAGGCAGCCATTCGCATAGGGCTCTGAATCCGGAGAATTTTTTGGGACAAAGCGACACAGTTTTAAAAGCAGCCGACTACATTTCCCAGCATCCTCCAAGACGTCCTATGGCTGCTACAAGATTTGCTGCTGAAGTGTAGGCATTTTCAAGAAGGCTTATTTTGCCATGCCTCTTCAGCGGCCACTCCAAATTGTGTTTCCTCCTCCTGCCGGAGTGCTGCTCTCGTTATGATGCGCTGTCAAGCGTCCCTGGCTTAGGGCTACCTATGAACCAAAGCCCTGCAAAATGTCCTATCCATGATCTGCTCTTGTAGATTCAAGGTTGGGGTTCTCTTCATAGGGTGAATCAATAGTATAAAGGGCCTTTTCTACCCAACGTGCAGCGTTTTTCCCCCCTCTCCTCCTTCCTCCCCCCAAGAAATTCTTCCTCGCCCTTATTCTCTGCGATCAGAGGGATTTTTCCGAGGAGGAGAAGGAAAGGCATATCATTACATTTCAGGATGTACAAAAGTATTCTACCAAAACCAAACCAAACCAAAAACTGAGTGAAGTCTCTCTCTGCTTCTGCACCATGACCCTGCTCTTCACCCCTGCATAGAAATGTGAAACAACCCCTTTTCATGGCTGAATACGGCAAGGCCGAACTGTAGGCAAGATCTCAGCCTCCTCTAAGTGGCACAATCCTGTCATGTCTAGATAGAAAAAGGCCTACCTCTCCCAGCAGGAGAGGCTACCTGGTTGATGCCAAGGGAGCTCTCCAGAGGCAAAGTGGTACCCAGGGGCATCCTTTTGGAGATCCTCATTTGAAGGGATGTGTTACTAGAGTTTTACAATACTTTGTCATTGCAGATGAATTCTCTGAGGTATAGAGACCGGGTTCTACTTTTGCTCCAGGGAGGCCAGTGTGTAACCAGAAAGAAACAAGCTAGATTTTAAAATAAAATGGATTTGAGAGGTTTACTAGCGTCACAGCATACAAATATTGAAACCGTATAACCTCATCAGTAAAGAAGTACACAGAACCTGGTCCTGAATGGTGCAACACTCCCTCTTAGGGATAAGGTCCGCAGCTTAGGAGTACTCCTCGACCCGGAGCTTTCTTTGGAAGCTCAGGTGACAGCGGTGGTGAGGAATGCCTTCCTTCAGCTTCGGCTGATTAATCAGCTGCGCCCCTACCTGGAGTACGACTGCCTGGCGACGGTGACACACACGCTGGTGACTTCCCGCCTAGACTTCTGTAACGCGCTTTACGTGGGGCTTCCCCTGAAGACAGTCCGAACACTTCAATTGGTGCAAAATAGAGCTGCCAGGTTGCTGACGGGGACGGGGCGTTATGCTCACATGACTCCAGTCCTCCGTCAGCTTCACTGGCTTCCCATTGAAGCCCGGGCCCAATTCAAGGTGTTGATTATGACCTATAAAGCCCTAAACGGCTTGGGTCCTGGCTACCTGAACGAGTGCTTACGTCCGTATATGCCCGACCGCCCTTTGAGATCTGCGGGAGAGTCCCTTCTCCGGGAACCCTCCATGAAAGAAATTAGGAGAGTAAGTACTCGGAGGAGGGCTTTCTCTGCGGTGGCACCCAACCTATGGAATTCACTCCCCAAAGAGGTCCGCCTGGCACCGTCGTTACTGGTTTTTCGGCGCCAGGTAAAGACCTTTTTATTTAAACATCATTTTAATTGTTAAAACATATGATCTGGCCAGGGCAACTTCTTCCTTCTCTTTCTCCTCCTATATTTTTATTTACTTAATTTATACTGATAATTTTAATCTTATATTTGTAAATCAATGTATTTTTTGTATTTTTGTATTTAATGGTAATTTATTATGTGCTATTGTATTTCAATGTATTTTATCGTGTTGTAAGCCGCCCCAAGGTTTCGGCAAGGGGCGGCATAGAAATGTTATAATAATAATAATAATAAAAATAAAAAAGAGCATATATAAGAGCACATACTTAGACAAGGAAACACAATGTAACAATAATAGTTCAGGGTGCTATCCAATGGCGTGTAAGCCTCTGAACTGGAGGCTTGAGGATCCAGCACAGTGTGGAGAATGGCAGAAGCGATCTCCACCCTTTGGTATCTCCTGCTTTCCAATCTGAAGTACACCGCCCCCCACTTTCTACAATGTGTAAGGGCCATAAGACGCCCTCTCTATGGCAGTGATGTGAGAATATGAAGAACAGGAAAGTGAACAAAAATACATGAGATAGCTACTGATGAAGCAATTTTATATACATTGCCAGGTGATACATTACCTTCTCCCAATATCTCTTCTTGTCCTGTAGTTTAGAAGCATTTTCACTATTTTAAAAGCATTTTACCATTCTTCAAAAGAAGTGCTAGCTACCAGTTCAATGCATCATTGACTAAAAGCTGGAGGGGATTCTTTCGTAGTCTTCTGAGAAAATTGAGAAAACTTGACAATATTCCCTAAAAGTTGGAAAAGTTCAAAAACAGTCCCTTAAAAACAAGTAAACCTACTTCTAGAAGATCAGAATATAATATCACAGAGAAAGAAATTAGGATTACACCTGAATAGAGTTGATTAAATGTAAGCTTTGAAAACAAAATTAGGAATAAGCAAATATAAGACAGACAGACAGACAGGCCAGCCGACCTCATAGGAAAATATAAGAAAGAGGACACTAAAACCAAAAGAATAAGGAATCTTCTCCATGGTCCGAGTAGGTGGCGGGAGCTGTACTCTGAAACAGAAAAAGCAAAGAAAGAAGGACATCAACAATGTATTTCTCAGCTTCTCCTTCCTGACCACCTCCCATCCTGGCCATGTAGGGCTTCTCTACATGAATTGTTTTGACAGCTTTACCAAGCCTCTTACATTTTATGTTATGTTTAGTAGCTTACAGCACCTGTGCCACCATTTGTCTACAAGCAGGGTGAGCACACAAGGTGAAGTACTTCCTGACGGTTAGGACCCCCGGGGTATGGAATGGGTTTCCATGGGAGGTGGTTGAGGCCCCATTGGTGAGGGTGTGCAAGGGCAGGCTGGACATGCACATGGTGGGCATGTTGTGAGCGGAGCCGGCTGGAGCCGGGGGTCAGACTAGATGGCCCAGGAGATCCCTTCTGACTCACTCTGTTTCTATGTCCTTCAAAATCTATCATGCCAAGTACCACTCCAGCTGTCTGCACCTCCATCTTGTTTCTCTGCTGTCGATTCATTCCCATGACCCACCTGTAACTTTTGCAACTCACCAGCATGTAGCTATCTTTCGAAAAGCCACAGATTTGAACAAAAGCCAATCTGGGGGCAGCAGAGAAATAGCATCTGTCACCTGCACATTCTTTTATGTTATAGGAGCTCCATTCCTTACTGTGTGGGAAAAGGCTGGGAATGTTCAAAAGGTTTCTCATCCATATGGGGTGGCTGGTGTCTAAGAAGAGCTGATTTTTAAGGGAAACAAACTCCACACGACAAGCATTTCTGCAGTTTTTTCCCTGTGCAAACCCTCTGGTGGCCCACGAGATTTGATTTTAGAGAAAAACATTTCCCACACTCCAAAGATTTATAGGGTTTTCCTCCTGTGTGGACTCTTTGCGGGATTACTAGTCTTAATTTCCACACAAAACATTTCCCACATTTCAAGCATTTATAGGGCTTCTCTCCTGCATGGACTATTTGGTGGTGTATTAGTTGTGATTTCCACACAAAGCACTTCTCGCACACTGAGCATGTATAGGATTTCTCTCCTGTGTGGGTCGTCTGGTGGTCTATGAGCTGTGATTTCCAGGCAAAACGCTGCTCACACTCCAAGCACTTGTGAGGGTTCTCTCCTGTGTGGACTCTCTGATGAACTGCAAAGGATGAGGAAGTAGCAAAACACTTCCCACAATCCAAACAGCAATACGGCTTTTCTCTTTTATGAACTCTCTTATGTCTTGCCAAAGCTGAGGGAGAAGCAAAAGGTTTCCCACACTCAAAGCATTCGTAAGGTTTCTCTCCTGAGTGGACTGTCTGATGCCACATGAGCTGAGATTTCCAAGGAAACCATTTCTTACACTGGGAGCATTTGTGGGATTTCTCTCCTGTGTGGACTCTCTGGTGGGTCATGAGTTGTGACTTCTGAGCAAAACACGTTCCACACTGCAAGCATTTATAGCATTTTTCTCGTGTGTGGACTCTTGCATGGACCCTATCCCTAACCCTAACCCTGCAGCCAGGCGTAAAGAAGAAATTAAGCCAGTAAGACTATGGTGATATTGACCCTCGAATTAGGCTGTGCACTATCTGCTGTGAGTTCTGGGCACACTCGAAAAACATTTCTTTCCCCTCAGGAGTTTCTGCCTTAGTTTTGGTTGAATAACTATGCTACTGTTGAAATGGATTTTTTTTACTAGTTTTATTTTGTAGGTTGTTCTGATTGTAAGTCAGTTATTGTGTTAAAACACCACCCTGGTAAATCCCTCTATTGCAGAAAATAAATATAACTATTAATATAAAACATTTAAAAAGGGAGGTAGAAGGAGCATCATGAAAGTGTTTTTTTTAATAATTGATTGTTTGCCCTAGCACTCAGTAGCATTGAAAATGCTAAATTTAGCTCGTTTGCAAGAAAAATGCATCACTTTTAGTCTGTAACAGCTACAGAGTGCTAATACACTTGATATTTAGTTTGCGGATCTACTGATTCTTCTAGCAGGAAGTGGCAAGGATGGCATGTTGCCCAGTGCTGGGAGCTGTACAATAATTAAATTAAAGGGAATCATACCTGTCCTTGGGCTGGCAATCTGGAAGAGACAATACCAAAAGGATATAAAAGGAAAAAGAATAGCAGCAGAAGAGGCTCTTATATTTTATATTTTTTATTTATTTTATATTGTTAATTTTAATTTTATATTGTTATTTTTGTATTTTATTGTATTTTATTGTGTTGTAAGCCACCCCGAGGCTTCAGCAAGGGGCGGCATAGAAATGTTCAAACAAACAAACAAATAAATAAATGTCACAGGTGCACAACTTTGCATTACAATGCTATTTGAGCCAGTACAAGAAGGGGAATGGTGCTGGAGAAGACTCCTGAGAGTCCCTTGGGCTGTAAAGAGATCAGACCAGTCAATCTTAAAGGAAATCAACCCTGACTGCTTTTTCGATGGCCAGAAGGCCACTGAAGATGAAAATACTTTGGCCACTTAATGAGAAGGAAGGATTCACTGGAGAAGACCCTGATGCTGGGAACAATAGATGGCAAAAGAAGAAGGGGACGGCAGAGGATGAGGTGGCTGGATGGAATCACTGGAGAGGTGGGTGTGGGGTTGGGTGGCCTCCGGGGGATGGTGGAGGACAGGAAGGCCTGGAGGAATGTTGTCCATGGGGTTGTGGTGGGTCAGGCACAACTTTGCGACTAAACAACAGCGAAGGGGAAGGAGAAAGTTTTGCTACTTTTTAAATAGATGGATCATTCCTCTCAACCCAAGAGGCAAAGAGAAGTGAAATGCCTGCCCTCATGCACCTTCCTGAGCGAACACCACAGCTGAAACACACACACACACACAAACACACACACACACACAGTGAAGGACGCTAACAATGTGGGCCAGCTCCTCATAGTCCTCTGCGATGTGCAGCTCCAGAGAAGCACTGAATGTAGTCACTCAGCTTGCACAGGTCAAAGGATTTTGCTTCCAGAGGCCTTGGGGATCATTGATTCAAGTGGGACTGAAATCCTTTAATGGATCGGGAGACCAGACTTTGCCTTAGAACATGTCCCAGGGTGCTGTGCAAGGGGCTTGGGTCCCTCCGAGGAATCCAGAAATAGGCCAGTGCTCTGGTCACCTGGGCCCCTCACCTGAGTGGGTGTTGGAGTTCTCTGTTCCATCCAAACCCAAAGGATCTGGCACCACAGCATATCCCCTTGTTCAAACCGGGAGATGAGATCAGGCTTGGTGACTGGAAAGTCTTCTAAAGGAAGAACAGATCGACGATTACAATGAATTTCATAACTAGTTAAAATGTTTGAGAGAAATCGTTTTTCAGCTTTGTTGTATTGTGGATTTCTGAATGCAGGCACAATATCAACATACTGGCAAACTAAAAAGTGTTGTTTTCTTTAATTTCCATCTCCATGACCTTTATTGCTCATAAAGTACATTGCGTTTTTCATGTTCCCTTGTTACTTTGTGCTCACATTTGAACTTAAGTGTTATGAATTTTTGGCTATTTTTTCCTTGCACAATTTTTTTTCTGTAAAAAGTTCCACATCATCACCATCACCATCACCATCACCATCTTGCCATTCTACTAGCATCATGACTAATACTTTTAATAGGGTCCTGTCCTACTAAAATATACATTACCTAGTCTACTCTATCAACTAATCTATCTGAAGAGAGATAGAAAGAACTGGGCTGGTTTAGCCTCAACAAGAGGAGACTGAGCGGAGAGTTGACAGCACTCTACAAGTACTTAAAAGGCTGTCACAAAGGACAGGATCTCTTCTCGACCATCCAGGGCATGGAATAATGCTCTCAAATTACAGGAAGCCAGGTTCCAGCTGGACATCAGGAAGACCTTCCTGTCAGAGCAATACAACAGTGGAACCAATGACCTGGGAGGTTGTGGGGTCTCCCACACTGGAGGCATTCAAGATGCAGCTGGACAGCCATCAGGGAGGGAAGGTGTAACTGGGGGTCCTGCACTGATCAGAGGGTTGGACCCCTTTCCACTCTACGATTCCATGATTCTGTAAACATAGTCCTGAGCACTCCAGTTAAGGACCCCTGTATTTGTATATTGATAGCTGAAGGGCAATGGTGGACAAAATATTGTTTTATACCTCAGACATTAATAAACCCACTAAATGCTCAACTTTATGCAAGTTTAGAGAGAAACGTGGCCTAAAACCACAGGAGGTCACAAGCAGCATTAACTGGATGATCTTGCTGTGAGTTGTTGGCCTCTTTTCTATCTAAACATGTATAGGAATGTACCCCAAAGTATTTAGAATGGTCAAGAGAGTAGAAAACCTAAAGACAGACCAAGGAACATCAAGATCTCCGACAATTACATATGAGGCATCAATTTCCTTACCCAAGAAGGCCACGTTCCCATAATTCTCCATCATGACATCCCTGTACAAGGCCCTTTGATCCAGGTCCAGCAGAGCCCCCTGCCCCTCCGTGAAATACACGGACACATCTTCAAAGGTCACTGCCATCTAGAAGATCAGAGAGACCCCAGCTCAGCCACCACAACTCTAGAAACTCTTTCAAAAGCTCAGCTACGGACATGGAATGCAAGGAAGGTGAAGCCTACCTTACCAAGGTCAAACTAGACATACCCCACTTCACAACATCCACCAGGCTGTACATTCCTACATCCTATTTTTGGCTATTTTTGGCAGGGGGAATAGCCAGAAGCAGCAGTGGTGCCCCCCTTGGCCATCTGTCTGTCAAGCAAGAAAGTGGTAGGAGGGATGAAACAGAGGATGATGAGCAAGAGCAATGGGTGACAATGTCAGTGAGGAGGAAGACCTTATTCAAGGGCCCTCAAAAATCTGGCTCCAGCACTGGCTCCAAGTGTAACGATCGCGTTGGAGTTTGTGGATTACAGCTCTAAGCAGAGGCATCAGCCAAGATAGCCAAATGCAAATCCGGAATCCTGGATGCTGGGAACCAAGAGCAGGGGACAACTTTTGCTTTGATGCCTGATGTATGGGCTTGCTAGACCAGACTGACCCTTTGTTTTGATCCAAGAGAGGGCATTTTTGTTCACTTGGAGAAAGCAGTGGAAAAAAAGGCATTTTCTGATGCCTGCTGGTTTGGCTCTCCTTGTACGTCTTTCTTCCTCTCCCCACATCCCTCCTGTGTGCCTCACCAGCACTTCCCAAAAGGCCTCCTACCTGGTTTGGATCTACTGCAACCTCTTGCCTGGTCTCAAAAGCAGGAAGCGATTGTGAGTGAGGCTTCGATGCCATTCTTCACTCCCTGGGGACAGCATAATGATGGACAATCTCAGATCATCAACATTTCATTCTGTCTCAGGCAAAGAAGAGCTGTTTCTTCTACTGTTTGGCATACATGATTGGACGGAAGGAAGAAGCAATATCCTCAACAACCTTGTTGTTGTTAGTCGCGAAGTCGTGTCCGACCCATTGTGACCCCATGGACAACATTCCTCCAGGCCTTCCTGTCCTCCACCATCCCCCGGAGTCCACCCAAGCTCACACCAACAGCTTCAGTGACTCCATCCAGCCACCTCATCCTCTGCAGTCCCCTTCTTCTCTTGCCATCTGTTGTTCCCAGCATTAGACTCTTCTCCACGGAGTCCTTCCTTCTCATTAGGTGGCCAAAGTATTTGAGTTTCATCTTCAGGATCTGGCCTTCTAAAGAGCAGTCAGGGTTGATCTCCTCTAGGACTGACCGGTTTGATCGCCTTGTGGTCCAAGGGACTCGCAGGAGTCTCCTCCAGCACCGCAATTCAAAGGCCTCAATCCTTCGGCGCTCAGCCTTCCTTATGGTCCAGCTTTCACAGCCATACATTGCAACTGGGAAAACCATAGCCTTGACTATACACACATTTGTTGGCAGGGTGATGGCTCTGCTTTTTACTATGCTGTCTAGATTTGCCATAGGTTTCCTCCCCAGGAGCAAGCGTCTTTTAATTTCTTGGCTGCAATCCCCGTCTTCGGTGATCTTGGAGCCCAGGAAAATAAAATCTGTCACTATCTCCATTTATTCCCCATCTATGTGCCAGGAAGTGAGAGGACCAGATGCCATGATCTTAGTTTTCTTAATGTTGAGTTTCAAGCCAACTTTTGCGCTCTCCTCCTTCACCCGCATCAAGAGGCTCTTTAGTTCCTCTTCACTTTCTGCCATGAGAGTGGGATCATCTGCATATCTGAGGTTGTTATTTCTCCAGCAATCTTAATTCCAACTGGTGATTCATCTAGCCCTGTCTTGCTCATGATGTGCTCTGCATATAAGTTAAATAGGCAGGGCGACAGTATACAGCCTTGCCGAACACCTTTCTCAATTTTGAACCAATCAGTGGTTCCATGTCCAGTTCTCACTGTTGCTTCTTGACCAGCATATAGGTTTTTCAAGAGACAAATAAGATGGTCTGCTACTCCCATCTCTTTAAGAACTTGCCACAGTTTGTTGTGATCCACACAATCAAAGGCTTTAGCATAGTCAATAAAGCAGATGTTTTTCTGGAACTCCCTAGCTTTCTCCATGATCCAGCGTATGTTGGCAATTTGATCTCTAGTTCCTCTCCCTGTTCGAAATCCTGCCAGTACTTCTGGTAGCTCTCGGTCCACATACTTCTGGAACCTAGCTTGTAGGATTTTGATCATCACTTTGCTAGCATGTGAAATGAGTGCAATGACTTTAGTATCAACATAGTATCAACATAGAAAGCTGTTCTGTGCTGAGTTGAACTATCTGTTCTTATACATAAGAACATGTTTCTGAAGCTAGCTGAGGCTCTCCAGGGTCTTCCCCAATGCTATTGCTGGAACACATTCATGGAGGGTTGTTTATTATATTTATAGCCTTTCTCCCATTGTGGAACTCAAGTGGTTCTCAGATGGTCCCCCCTCCAGGCTCAGGCCAGCCACAGGGCTGCTTAGCTTCAAAATGGGGGGTGCCTTGTGTGCCTTCAGACCATGCCCTGCTTAAAGTGATTAGTGGCTACTGAACTTGATATCCATTGGCTTCCTCCAATATCAGAGGAAGTCTGCCTATGTACACCAGTTCCTGAGGAACATGGGTGCAAGGGTGCTGTTTCACACGTCTTGCAGGTGGATTTCCCCCGGGCAGCTAGATGGCCACTGTGTGAGTAGGGTGCTCCACTAGATGGACCTTGGACCTGATTCAGCAGGGCTCTTATGTTTCAAGCTCCTTACAGCTGCAGATGCCTGAGACTGAGCCGAAGATCTTCCGCTTGCAGAGGACATACTCTACCCTTGAGCTCCAAGTGTTGATTGGGACAACAGTAGCAGACACCAGTTTTTCCACAACCACCTTCAGGAAATACAAGCTGAAACACCAAACAGGGTATGGAGATCAAGGGCTACTGCTCCTCCACAGGCTCTTGAGCCCTAACCCTAAACACCTCTTTCAACTCAAAGGTGTTTTGGAAAAAGGGCAGGAGAGCAGGAATTCGATCTGCCTGCTTATTGATAGATTCTCATGATTTCTGCCTCCAAAACAGAATCCAAAAAGGATCACTGCTGACACTCAACAGTGTTGATGGACCGCGGTCCTAATCGCAGATCCAATGCCACATATACAACTCTGGCACGAAACCACAGATCCAAGATGAAATTACCAGAATTCCTTCATCTTCCGTGAAGCAGTGTTAACATGTTAAGCATCAGTTGCTGAGATCAGCAGGGACACGTCTATGCTGACTGGAACGGTGATTATACAGGGCGGTGCTGGTGCTTACTGAAAGGGCACGTGGTTTGTATACACAAGGCCAAGAGACCAGTTTTTCCTACCTGAAAGCCAAAAATTATCCTAACAGGCTGGGAAAAAACAGCCACCCACAGCAGTAAACTATTTATTTATTTACTTACTTACTTACTTACTTACTTACTTACTTACTTACTTACTTACTTACTTCATTAGGTATTATCTTTCCGGTGAAACACTGACAGCAAGTTACTGTTTTATGACATGATCATTACAAAACCTAGAACAAGGGCAATGTCTTCAGCCGTTGAGGGTTATTACAGGAACTGAGGGCACAAGTTCCACAGCCTGCAAGTCCTCACTGGGCCTTAACAGAGCAAGTAATTATCTCCTCCGTGATACATGACCCATTTTTCAATTTTGAAAAAGCATATTTCACCTGCACAATTTGGTATCTCAGACGTATGCCCCGTAGGTGTCGTCCACATGAATTCTCTCATGAATAATGAGGGCAGATGTTGAAGAAAAACAATCCCCGCACAT